GCAGGTGAAGGCCCCGCTGGTGCTGAGAGACTAGCCGCGGCCCTGGGAGGGGTCAGGAGCCGCTGGTCCCCCTGCCTCCTTGTGTTTGTGCTGCTGTGTGGGGAAGCGGGGCGCCAGGCCTCCTCAGATCCCCCCACACCTGTGTCCCCACATTTCCGAACCTCGATTGCAGAATAAACAGACGTGTAGCAAACTACCAGCTCCTTCTTTCGTCTCCCATTTCTTTTGTGAAACTGAATTCATCATCAGCTTTGTGAGCAGCGCTTAGCTGTTGCTCAGGGGTGAAAGTGACGGGCAGTGCCCACGTGCGATGCGTGGTTTTTAATAAGATGTACTCGGCCTTTGCCCGCGCCCGGCACGGAGCCCTGGGAGTGTCCTTCTTCGGAGAGTGGTCCTGGTGTCTTGTGTTAATGAGGTTGCTTTGGGGTCCCGCCCGAGGGTGAGGCTGGATGCCATGGAGCCCAGGGGTGAGAGGTCGGCCCTGTCGGCAGCTCCCTGATCTTGGGAGGGAAGGCCAGTGACTGAGCCAGTGGTGATGTAGTGCAGCCCCCGCACCCCGCAGGGACAGGCCTGGTCCTTCCTGGGGCTTCCACGTGGGGACCCGATGCTCCACTGCCAGCGTGGGGCCAGCTCCGCAGGGAAGACGCGCACCGCGAGGCCGCGCCCTGTGTACCTCCTGCCGCTGTGACTGACACCCTTCACTCCCTTCTGTGATCTCGGTCACCAGTGGGACCTGGGTTTCTGGAGGCCTGTGCGCTGTCCTGCCAGGCTCCTCACCCAGCCAGGGCTTGGGGACCCGAGACCTGTGGCTGGTTGGTCAGCGCACAGGGAGCAGCCTGCTGTGCAGCCGGCGTCCAGGGGAGGGTGGGCCTGGGCCTGGGACCTCACCTAGGGAACCTGAGGATTGTTGTTGGTGTGGGGCAGCACACACACACACACACACACAATGCACACCCTCATGCATGCGCACGGAACCCCTCTCAGCACGTGTGTGCAGCCAGGACAAGCGCAGACGAGATGGAAGAGGCTGCAATGACTCCGTGGCGGCTGCGCCGTGAGGTCGGCTGTAATGGTGGAGCTGGGGACCCAGGCCTCTTCCCATGCAGAGGGGCCCTCGGCTGGTGAAGAGCTTCATGAGTCGGTGCAGCCTCTGTTTTTCCTTCTCTGGTGACGACTCCCAGCTGTTCACCCCGGGAACCACCCCGCTCCCACGG